ATTCTGGGAGTTGAAGTGCACACCTCTTAAAGGGGCCAAGGTTGAGAAACACTGTTCTAAAGCATATAATTTTCCTGAATGCTACATAGTCTGGAGTTCTTGGTGTCAACCCTCACAATAATATGTCAGATTCTTCCGGGAAAAGTTTAAAAGCTACATATAAAATAACTGAACCCCTCCTTACAACTTTACATTCACCTGTGGAACTATTTTGGTTCTTAAGAACTTTGAGTCTGTTAGAGTGCAAAATATATGAAGATTATATAAGTTGTGAATGTGCATTTAAATCACTGCTTTGAGTAAAAAAAATGTAAACATGTGTTAAGAAAAGGTACAAATACATTTATGTGCATTTCCCCATATTTAAACAATAACAAGCCATTTAAATGGACATCCCTTTGTCAAACAGTAATGTAGCAACTCAGCTTTGTTGAAATAATAATGAGGCATATTTTTAATCAATTATATTCAGAGCAAAAAAGAAAATTAAATTTTGCCATCTATTCTGGTCTGTATTTAACGAGCATTGTATAAATTATTTCCTTTGACTTATGCTTTTTTGGTGCACAATAATGTATTTTATTATCAGCTATTCTATTGGCTTTCTGTCATAAATATACATGTTATGGCAGTCAGTATAGTGTTCTGTATTGGGTTTTTTTTTCATTTCCACAGTGAGAAAACTTGTCCAAAAAAATTCAAAACTAGAATAAAGCCTCATACAAGTAGAAGAAAGTATAAAATCCTATATTGCTGGAGGGTAAACAGACATACAGTAGGCTTACTCAAGAATGAGTCTGTGGGTAGGGACACTGAAGAGGCAGCTTTCTTCTTGCAATAGAAGGATGTCTTTAGGACTTACATTTTGGGAGGAGACATTGCTCATAAAGGTTTCTTAGCTAATGGTGAGCCTTAGGGCCTGTTATTCATTTGTGAAACTGAGCATACTTAAGAACTACATAAGTTGGTCTCAACCCAAATGCGAATAGACTTAATTGCTGGAGCTGTTCCATTTCATATGGCTAGAAATTAGTCATAAAAGAACCTGAACATTTTCCTTTAGGAAGAGAAGAAGCTGTCTGTAATCTGCTTCAGAGAAAAAGAAAGCTCAGGGGATAATATGGATCTACTGTTTAGTAATTAATATCACAAAATTTGTGAGCAGTTAGTGCTACATAAATTTGTGTTCCCAGATAATCCAAATGATACTTTAGGAATTTGAGAATGTTATGCAAATAAGCAAATATATTCTGGGTTTGGTAACCATGAAGAGATATAAAAGGGACCAAACACCTGTTTCTTAGGTACTAGAAGTCTTAGACAGCAGTTCCACTGGGCTTCTGAGATTTCATTTCATATTGTCTAAATATTTTTACATATGTATTTTCTCACCTGTAAGAAGGCTATTTTTAACAAAAGGGATGCTTTCAGGCAGTTGAATACTGCATTCATCATCTGTTGTGTGCTCCTCTAAAACAGTATAGAATAGCCAAAGATAGCATAAATCTAATTCTGTTGTATCTTTGAATAGATTCTAGGTTATGAGAAATCAGAAGTTTGGTAGCACCCTTTCCAGTTAACAAATTCATTAGTTAGAAAAAGTGCTACCACATTCCTTCTGATCTTTTGCTAGACCAACATGATTCTTCTCCTACAGTGTCTGCAGTGAGAAGCACTAGATTCTGAGAAAATAATTTTTGGATTTTTAAAAAAGTATAAGTAATTTTTAATATACTAATCTATTAGCCATATTGAATATTTTTCTGGGGTATGTAAATAGTGCAAGGGAGGGAAATCTGTAGGCCTCGAGGTATTCTTGAATCATATCTTTTCCCAGCTCCAGCTAGCATAGCTACTCAAAGTTGGACTATAACAATAGCTGGTAGATTGCAATTTTCAGCTTCTACTACAATTTTCCTTAGACAGCAAAATAATTTAGTAAGAATATTCTACTTGGAATGGGCCAACAGAGGGAATAAATTGACTGGAAAATGAGGCAGAAATTAGGCTCCAGCAAAGGAGAGTATGACCATTGTCATCAGAAGGTCTCACTTCTGAAGAGTAACGTATGAGTACTAGAAAATTGTTCCTAGTACTTAGTATTGATAAGCCCTTCATCCACAAAATGAGGAGGAAAAACTCTTTGATGGGATTGTGATCCAGGGATCCAGGGGGTTGCATTAAAGCACCAAGTCAGTCTGCTAGAAATAGATTTTGAGGAGAGAATTCATGGTTCTGGTTCTAAATGGCATTAGCAAGATTGGATGGGCAGTTGGGGAAAGAGGGTATGGGGTTGCACCCTTTGCAGTTTCTCTCAAGTGCTGTTTGCTTTGTCTCTTTCCCTCTCCATAAGCAAAGTTTGCACTGTTTCCCTCTTGTAACTTAAAGCAGCTAACACCTCTCCCGCTCCTGACTTGAGAATACAGTGGTACCTCGGGTCACGAACGCTTCTGTTCACGACCAATTCGGGTCACGAACAGCTCCGTTCGCAAATTATTGCGTCCGTTCGCGAGCGCTGGATCGGGGG